AGAGTCCCCCATTGTGGGGAGATGGGCAGGGACAAGTTTACTAAATAAATAAATAAATAAATTCTAGTTCTATCTCTCTAGTCAGGTTACATCGACAGATTCTTGCAAGACTGAAAGTATTTCTCCCCTCCTCTCCTTTTACTCTCTGGAAAACTAGGAGGGTCCCTTCTGAGACCCTTCCCACACCCCTTTTCCTTCTGTAGGCTGAGACACCCTTTCCATGCTGGTTGTCCAGTCTGCAGCTCTTCCTCCTGTCTCCCAAGGTCGTTCCCACAGACCATTACAGATATAAATCAATGCCTTCACCAGATGCTTCGTCCAAAGAATCCAGAAAGGAGGTTAATCCCTTCATCATCTTAACTGATTTCTGCAGTAGTTTTGTAAGATAGTTGTTCTGCCAATCTTGAATAGCTTTCTCCCCATTTGTCCCTAATCAATTGGTACCTAACTACATTTCTTCCCCCCACTTCTGTTTTTTTTTTCTTTAGATTCCTAAAAAAAAAAAGTCAATTGCTGTTTTCGAGAGCTTCGGGGCAAGCTGGGCACAGGAGGAGAAACGGATGATCTGGTTTTATTATTATTTTTAAAACTGCCCCATTTTTAAAACCACTTCTGGCATTTGCAAGCTTGGAATGAAGGCAGCCCTTATGGAGGGAGAATTAAAACACCCCTCTAAACCTGTTCTTCCAGCTCATCCTTCAGTTGCTTCTTACGTTCACCTGCATTTCAGCTGTTGCATTGACTAACCTGTCTTTGTTCACCCCTTGGCTGGGTTCGAGCAATTTCCACCAAAGCACCCGGTGACCAGACTCAATCTGTGGGGCCCATTTCTTCTCCCGAAAATGGATGGAAGCAAATTTGATCAGCGAACCCTTCCTCACCCCTTTTCTCCTCATCCCAGTTTCTCAGAGGATTTTGCGAACAGTTGTTCCCACATGGCAGATGAGAAATGGAGGTGGAGAAATACTTTCCTAGCTGGGGTCTTCAAAACCAAGGTGAGGTTCTAGCCAAGCTGTTAGATGGATGGTCTCATTGCTAGATAGCATTGAATTTAGGATTTGAGATTAAGTCTGATGTCTTAGGTTCAGTTCACAGCTAACTCTGTGGCTGTTGGGCCTAAGCACTGGAATAGTTAAAAAAAAAAATCGAGCAAATCTAACTATTGGACTTAAGCTAGTGGGGTGGCTTTGCACCCTGTTTTTATTGTTTGAGAAGAAAATTGAGGAATTGGAATGATTCAAAAGGTGCTTAAAGTACAAGAAGGAAAGGTGTCCTGTTTGGGGACTGTAGGGCCTCTTGGCCATGTTGAGAAGATGACGTTGGGTAGGGTGGCCCATATTCAACCCTTCTTGAGGACACTAGATTGGAGAAGTCTTTTCATAGGGTTTGGGCAAGGTCTTCTCTTTCTGCTTCTCCAAGGAAAGAATGCAAAGGACGTCCTTTCCAGCTGGGTGGGTGGTGGTTTTGTGTGTGACTTGCACCCCAGTGTTTCTCACGCCATCACACCCAGATCCAGAGGAGTTTCATTGGAAAGGAGGACAGGGATTCATGGAGAGGCAGAGAAGATGCCTCTTTTGGCAAAGGGTAGGTCCTTGGTGGCCTTGACCTCGCCACAAATTACCCTCACACAGCACAGCGCGAATTGCTTCCAAGCCAGTCCACGAGAATGCATTGCTGGATAAGCTAAGCACTAAGGGTTTGGTTGGGTCTGGGGTTAGTGGATATGTGAACCCAGCTATGGTTCAGTGCAAAGGGTGTCCCCAACCATCGTTTCAGCCAGTGCATATTTAAACACAGTCTTAGCCTGATGTGTCCACGGAGTTGCGGCGTTTGGGAATTCCTTGGCAAAGCATTCGCATTGAACAGGGGGTTGCCTTGCCCCGATCAAGCTGCTCACGTTCAGAATCAGCCTGTTTGGTCTTGGGTTCGAGCAGTCATGCCACACCCAAGAAGCTGCAGAAAGAGGTCCAGAGTCCTGGCTTTGGGCTGCTAAGACGGTCCACCAGACCAGATTCAGTTCCGAATCTCACCTCTGCTAAGGACTCACGACTTGGTTTGCAGCTCACCTGCAGGAAGGAATTCAGATTTCCATTCTGGGTTTTTCCTCTTTTCAAAGAAGTGCCTAAAGATAACAGATCATGTTAATACTACAGAGCAGCCCTCATACTAATAATTAGGGTTTTTCTTTTTTCCAGCGTCAGCTAAGGCATTGTCTGATAGTTGACTGGAATGATTCACAGCAGGCTTTTGGAGGCATGTTGACCTAGAAGAGAGCCCCAAAGTCTCTGGTGGGTCTTTCTCCCAACAAAGTGTGTGTGGAAGAGCTGTGTCAAGGCTGAATGGCTTGTTCCCATCAGGTAGGGCACTTTTGGTCCCATCATATGTGAAGAACTCTTGAGAACTCATCAGAACTCCTGGCCTGAATCTGTCTCTGGTGCTAACCGGGAAAAGTCATTTTCAAACCACTTCAGCGGTTCCAGGCATCCTGGCCTCAAAACCATCTGCCCCTTCCCCAGTCCGCCTGCCCTCCAGAGGGGGGGACTTCAGCTCCCAGCATTTTCCAGCAGGGCCAGATGTTGGCTGATGAATGCTGGGAGTGAAGTCTGCCCACTCCGCTTGGCTGTTCCAAGGCCTTGAACCTTTCTGTATGGTTTTGCCAACTGGGAGACTCTGCTGGGCCGGGGTATGCTGGTTTGTCAATCATTGGATGCCAACTGGCACCCAATAGAAGCCTCACTGAGGTCCCCATGGATCCATATGCCCGCCTGCATGGCTCCAATTTCACTCCTATTCTTTTAGCAAGCCGGCCTTTTTCATGCAAACCTTGGTTTATTCCTCTTCTCTGCCTGCCTGCTCAGTTTTGCCCTGCCTGCGTCACATTTAAGACCCACACTTTAATTTACCCGCTCTGCCTGCCCTTTTAATTTATTAAGTTATTTTGCATTTTGTCTCTCGAAAGCTACCCGCTTTTCTCGCATGCCCACTCCCACATTTATTTATTTCCACTTTTCCTCGTCACGTCCCAGCAAAAATTCACTGTGATTCCTGCCCTTCCCGACCTCCTGCCTGCTCTTGATTTCAACCCCAGCGTCACGTAGGTCAGTTTTTAATTCCATTTCGGGGCTACACCGTCGAGTAAACGGGTTTCAGCCTTGTCCGTGTGCCTCCCCACCCCAGAAGACGTCAAATCCTTTCCAAAAGAAGGAAGCCCCTTGGCAGACTCACAAAGAAGGCTGTGGCTGAGCTGAGCAAAAGAGACTGTAGGTTTTGAACTTGGCTCTTCTCAGGAAGCTCTGCAGTTTGGGGGTCCAGGAGGGGCCTGGGGCACCCCCCATTGCGACATCAACCAGCTGAGCCTACAGCCAGATTTCAAGGACAGAGCGATCCTTCCGGGAACCAGGATGGTGAAATCTCAATTCTCCCTCCAAAGAGGCTGAAACGGAGTTGCTGCACTCAACCTCCCAGACTTTTTTGAGTTGCCCCGTGTAACGCATTGCCAAGAAAACTTGCATTTTCGTCAACAGCGCTTTTCCGCGGAGAAGGTGGAAAGCAGGGAAGTGAAGCGTCAGAAACTGAAATATGCACCCAGCCAGCCCTCCGGATTGGTAGTTTAAAAAGAGCTGATGATCGATGTCCATTTGCCAGATGGGATATGTAGTGAACTGGCCTCCAGTGCCGTTGCTTGTTTGCATACAAGAGGCTTCAGCAACAGCTGTGGTCTCTCTGATGTGGATGTCATTTCAGGGGGGACTTTTAGCAGCTCCTTCCACATCCCCACCATAAAAATGCCCCTTCTTTTCCAGCCAGTGCGAGAAAAGTAAACTTGAGTGCCACAGCCCTCGGCGAGCTAAGGAACGCCACCTAGAATTGCCAGCCAGTGTTGGTTGAGGATTGCTCCCTGCATGGCTATTAGCCCAGGACACTAAATTGAGCCTCCCCTTTGGGGAACAGTCTACCTTTGAGGATCAGTTGCTGGCAGGGGTTGGGAAAAGAGGGCCCAGTCTTCACTGGCCTTTGGCCTGCTCCAGGTGAGCTCTCAACCTGCACTCTGTGCACCCGCCTGTTTGGGGATGGCATGGAAGCACCTGGAGAATTTGGAGAGGGGGCCTCTTCCCAAAATGGTTGCCCTGGTGGGCAAGGCTGCCCCCAAACCTTCATCGAGCAGAGTTAAGCTTTACTGCAGTTTGGGACAGTGGTTGGGGTCCTCAGAAGACTCAGCTACGCTGCTGAAAGGTAAAATGAGCTGAAATTCTGCCCTGCAGCCCAGAAAGGTGGTGGGTCTCCTGCCTCCGTGGCTTCCTAAAACAGGAACCCTGCATTAGTAGAAAGGAAGCCCCCAACTCATCGTCCTTTCCCAGATCAGGGGCCTTGGAGAATGATCTCCCTCTGCTTTCTCTTTCAGCTTTTGATTCTTTTGGGAGCAAGTTCCCTTTTTTCAAAAAAACACCCTTGGTGGGAGAGCAAGAGACGTCTTCTCACGGGCATAATGTTCGGTGCACCACCAAATTTGAGATCGAGGTGGACCATGTATTGTCCCCTGACCAGGAATGTCCAAGCAGAGGCCACAACATGTGTTGGTGGATCTCCAGAAAGGAGGTGCGTTATTTCTGCCTAAATAGCAAAGTCTTCAGAAAGACAACCCACCTTGAGTCTTTTTTTTTTTTTACAAGAGAAGTACTCTAAAAAAAATGCTAGTAAAGATTTTGAGCATCTAGAGAGGGAGATCATTTCTCCTATCCCTTCTCCTCCAGCAAATGTCATTTTGAAGGAAATTGAGGTTTTTCACTCCGGACTAGGTGCCTGAGCAAATAGAAGAAAGGGGGAAAAAAGATGTTTTTTTCAGAGCAGTAACACTGACCGGGATAAGCCTTGCCATATTCAACACAAGGGGAGTGGCAAATTGCCCCAAGCAATCTGCAGGCATGCTTGGTTTTGATTTAGCGCACTGGGCCAACCCAGCCAAACACAGTTTTATTCAACAAGCCAAGATTAAAACTGATGCATGATTTCAATCGCCTTTTCTGCCCAGGTGCGAAGGCTGAAAAAAATAAATAAAACTGAGCCGTGGCGTCATTAAATCGGGGAAGGACCAGCCAAGTAGGTTATTTGCTGTCTAGCTTAACTTTTTTTCAAGCCTCGGTTTGACATGTGTTTAATTTGGAAAAAAAATTGGAAAAAGTGGAAGTGGCCCGTGATGAGTTTAAGATATAGAGGAAGGGAAATTTACCAACTCTTTCATTTTCAACTCTGGAATAGGACCTAATGCCTAAGACTCAAGGGTTATTTCTTTATTCCCTTTGGAATTCTTGCTTTTAATGCCACAGAAGAGGAAAACAGATGGACGGGGAATTGTTTTAATTCAATTAATTTTTGCCGGCCTGCTATTTCGGAGGGGGCTTTGCTTCCCAAGGTTAGCTCCCCCCCGATGGCTGAGCGTACTTTGGAAGTCACGGAGCCGAAACAGCCATCCCTTTGAATCCCAACGTGAGTTTTGACTTGGAAGACGTGTTTTGAGATTTTATTCCGTACAGATCGTAAAGTGTGATGGGCAAAAATAAAGTTAGAGAGACGTGCTTTGGAAACAATCTTCCTGATTCAGAATACTGCCCCTCCACCCTGGAAACCCCAGGTACAGAAACCCCTATATAAGAAACCTTAGAAACCCCTCTATTTTACCCCAGAAACCCCTATATGAGAAGAAAAATATATATGGAAAGTTCCATCTATGCTAAAAAGCATGCATGAAATTTTAACGCAGGGCTTTAGAGGTATGAACATGAAGTAGATATGAATAACACAACCGGTTTCTAAAAAGGTTTCCCTCCTTGCTTACGATCAAACTAAACAGAGGGATTTTCCCTTGCCTCTAAACCCATCCTCCCCACTTGCTAATGCCCTTTCTTACCATCTGTAAATAGACAAGAGGAAAAAAAAAATATTTACTGAAAAACTGTGTTTTAATGCTGAGTATTTTTCAAAAGTTCTGCTGCGTATTTTCCATTCCTCCTCTCATGCTTGAAGTGTCAAAAAGATTTAAAGGAAAAAAACAAAAACCCGCCAAATTATATTTTAACATAAAACGTCAAGCACTTTTTTTTAATGGTTATTTCTGTGTATTTAGGCACTGGATTCTTTTATGTAGGTTTTGGTGGCAACTTAAATGTATGTGTATGTATGATTTCATAGCTCGAAAGGTGTAAAGAAATCCAAGTTCTAAGTGTTTTGTCTCATTTATTTCTGGCGACAGAATTCAATCAATAAAGTGCTTCCATTTGAAAGCGAGCAAAGACCTTAACTACAGTTGTGTGCACATCTGTGTGGATTTACTAGTGTAGAAAAGGGGGGGGACAATTATAAATTGTGCACCTATACACTTGCAACAGAATAAACAGCGCTTGGTGCTAAAAATGTTCACAGGAGATGGTTTTTAGCGTTAATTTTTGCTGAAAAGGAAAGGAGAGGGAAAGTTCTTAATTTTTTTGCGGGGTAAAATTCTTCACCCTTCTCTGCGTCCAAAACCAGAGTCCGGCCCATCTTTGACTACCGCGTAGCAACTCTGAATTTAGACTTAAGGGGTTAGTTCATGCTAACGGTTAGCAGGAAACCACAGTCTCCTTCACCCCAGATCTTCGTCTGCCAGTTCAACCAGCAGGTAGACGGAACTGGGAAGGGCGGGATCGCTTCCTTGGGAGCTGGAATGGATGAAAAGGAGGGGAACTGAGAGTGCAATTGTGCTGGATCCAAAGGGAAAAGTGGGGTTTAGAGATGGTGAGATGCTACACTTTTGAATGCAACCCTGGTTGGAGGAACTGCGGGCTGGAGCCCTGAGTGGATCTCAAGAAGCGGGACAAACTGGAATCTAGCCACCAATTGTCGGTTTGACGCTTCTGCCTCCATTTTCCAGGCCAGGGGTTTTTTAAATGGTTCCTCTGCTATTAGAGGGCACACAAAGCTGGCTGCAGAGACACGCTTGGGACACGTCCTCCGAGCTTGACGACTTCCTGACCAGGGAAGGTGGGGAAACTCTCTTGGAAACCTGGAATCTGGAGTTTTTCAATCAACACCATTGCAAGTGGATCCTTGGCGTATTCCTACCAGGATTGGCTTGATTGATACTTTGGCTGGGGCTCAAGATCCCGAGGCGGAGGACATCCACGCTCACCCGTTTTTTGAGAGAGAGATTAAAAGAGACCCCGCTTTTCAAAAGTGGCAGGGACCAGTTAAAACCGTCGATTTTAACTCAAGGCTGGGAAGCGTTTGGGCTCTAAGCTGCTAGCAAAAAGGTATCACCATGGCCAAACAGTGAAAACAGCCAAAAATGCTGAAGTTGTCCAAGCTAATCTTTGCCCCTTCTTGTAGGGGCCAGGATGGCAATCGGGAGGTATTTTGAAAGTGGGTGGAGCCATTTCACCTCCCCTCTTTTGCTTGTTCTGGGGGGGGGCATTGGGAAGTGGATGGAAAATAAATGCATTAAGCCTCCTGCCAATCCGGGTGATTTTACTTCTTGTAAAACAGTGTTTTTTTCCAAACTGGGTCACTTTAGGATGTGTGGACTTCAACTCCCAGAATTCCCCAGCTGGCATTCCACCCATCTTAAAGCATGCGGGCTGGGGAATTCTGGGAGTTGAAGTCCACACATCTTAAAGTGGCCCAGTTTGGGGGAAAAAAACACTGCTGTAAAACGACAAAAATGGTGGAATTTGGGGAGGGCAGGAACTTAAGGAGCTGCAAAGGGTTCTTAAGCAGCTCCAGAGTTTTGCTCTAATATTAAGCATATACGTTGATGTTGTTCATGTGCACACAATGCCATTTTAAACATGCAATCCTTGTTCTGATGTCATGCTCCTAGCCTTCCCAATGCAGGGAAATTCTGGTTGGATTTGTTGGGGTTGGGGAGATAAGATTATACCCCTCCCCTTCATTTTTTATACAGGATTTGGGGTTGACCCCTGGCTGCAGCTCCGGCAATAGTGGGAGCGTGCTGAAGCAAGGCAACGTGAACAGGCTTTTGAATGCGAGCGAGTT